CGATTTATGTGGCGCATACCGCCCCCCCCCCAACCCTCAGCACCCTCATGGCAAGCACTACGCCAATTATTTAGTGACAGAAAAATCGGTATCTCACGGAATCCAACCAAAACCGCCGCAGGTCCGGGCGGGGCCGAAAACGGCTTTTGCTGCCAGACAGCTACAACGTCCAGAAGGTCATCGCGTGGCGGCAGAGAGCTGGGGGGATCGAGCTTCTGACCGCTTGGGAAGACTACGATGTCGATGGTTGGACGTGGGAGCCCCTCGACAACATCCCCCAGCGGTTTGTTCGGGCCTTTCATGCGCAGCGCGAACGTCTCCCGACATCCTTTTTCTACGTCGTGACCAGGATGCGCGACCGGATCGCCTTCAAGGTGATCGAGAGGACCGGCCCGATGTTTGGGCTTGCTGTCCTGGTCGAGGAGGCCTCCCTGCGCGAGTATGCGCTCGCGCTGCTGCAGTACTTCTCTACTCCTCCGAGCGGCACAAAGGCCAAGATCGCGGTCAAGGAGGACCACTGGCAGCGGGCGCACACACTCACCATCTTCTCGCAGGAGCACGCCGCGTGGATCGTGTCGCTGCACGAGTCGCGGCCTACCCACGGCGTCGGCGCGCTCCGCATCAGGGGCGCGCGACGCATGTCCAACATGCTGCTCGTCGCGTGCAATGCTCGCACGCCGATGCGCCTCTCCTTTGTGGAGCCGCGCGCAGGCGGCTCCGACGCGCCTGCCCCCGGCTCCTACAAGTTCACGGTCGAGTTCACCACCGTGGGCATCAACTCGGCGACGGGCGACATCATGCCGTACACCGCGCCGACGGACGAGCTGCGCCTCGAGATGGCAGAGGCGCACGCGCTGGTTGCGTACGCGAAGAAGACGCTCAAGCAGCCGTGGGCGGCGGAGCCTGTCCGGCACAGGCTGCGCGCTAGCGGCTGGTGCGACCAGCCGGTGGCGTTTCAGTAGAATCCGTACATACCGGCACAGTCTAGCACGCGTGTGTGCCCCCACCCACACACGCGCGTGGCCCCGCGCTGGTTCCCGCGCGGCACTTCATGCGGAGCTCCTGGCGTGAGTGCACACTGTCCCGGGCGTCCAGCTGATGTCGTGCCACGCTTATGGTTGGTTTATTAAAGGTAATACTACACACAAACCGTCCCTGGGACTGCACAGGAGCCGGCGATAGGCGCGCGCGTGAGCAGCTGCTCGGAGCTGTGTTGTGTGTGTTCTCGCTCGAGTTCACCAGACAAGCCGAGCGTATCGTGCGAAGATGCTCGCGAAAACGCGCTGGAGCACCCAAAACGCGGAGCGCCCACGGCTGCTGTTCCGCACAGCGCGTTCGACGGCATGTTACGGCTAGAGGCGGGCGGTGGGGTGCAGCTCGCGTGCGGGTCGCTGTCACCGCCCTGCCGAGCCAAGCTGTCTGAGGTCGGCAGCGCGAGTTGGCTGGCGTCGCAGAGCGCCTTGCCGGCCGCGCACATCATATATGCTCGCACTTGGGGCGAAACAACCCGCTCCCAATACACAGTGCCGCGTAGAACTGCTCCGCCGCTTGATGGCCCATCCGGGCGCTGCGCCAGCAGGCAGCGACCTGCGGAAATGAGTGGCCGAGAGAGTCCGGTGCTCACCCGTGGCGTGTGCCTACTCACTCAGGCTTCACTCGGCCCAGATCTGGTATGAAAGGACCCGATTGGGGCTTGGCCGGAGCCGGGACGACTGTCAAACACGCTGCCATATAGCCGTGGTATTTTGGCCCTCTCGTTTCCGCACCGTGACAAGATCAAAAGATATAAGATTCATGGATCTCACACAAGTCACATGAAAAATGTGCGACCGCGAATTCGCCACACCTGTGGGTTAACACGCTCAACAATATCACACCACATGCACATGTACATGTGCCTCTCACGCCAGCCCTAGCTCCTCAAGCTTGCGCTGGTTGCGCGCCTTTGTCGCGTCGCGCTGCTTCTCGTACTCGGAAAGCGGCTCCGGCGGCGGGGCGGCGGCAGACGAGGAAGCGGCGCGGCGCTTGGTCGCTGGCCGCGCCCCCTCCCCGGCCGTTGCTGCCGCCCCGCCTTCGGCCCTCCTCTTTGCCCTCTCCTCGCGGCCCTGCTTGTTCCCAGCCGCCTTCTTGGCCGCCGACTCCTCCTCCTCCTCCTCGCCGCCGCCGCCCTCGCTCTTGCCACCGCCCCTCTTGACGATGCCGCTCAGCTGGTCGCGAGGCACGTATGAGGCGCCGTGCGACTTGACCCGCTTGGCGCCCGAGCGAAAGTCCGCCTCTTGCAGCTCGTACGCCCAGTGCAGCAGAGTCTGCCGCACCACGGGGCTGACGGTCTGGTCGTCGTAGCTCTTCCCGTCGCGGAGGCATTTTGCGATCAGGTTTTGCTTCCACCGCCCCTTGTCGCCGCACACGCCATTCCACCGCGCAATCTGCCGCTCGTCCTCGCCGCCTGCCAGCCGGCGCCCGGCGTAGAAGCTGCGAGGGGCGGTGCCGGCGTCAGGCAGGAGCGGGAACAGACGACTAAGTGTGTCGGGCAGCATCGCCGCCGCCGCTCACCGGAAGTACCACTGCGTCCAGCCGCGCGGGTCGCACTCGTTGATCCAGCCGCTCGACTCCCAGCCGGCCTGGTCGAGGCCCGACTTGACGCCGTGCTTGTTGTGCGAGGAGCTGTACCGCCGGCTCAGGAACAGCTCTTTGGGCACGCCCACGAACCACTCTTGCGGGAACTCGTCGATGGTGACGCCGGGAATGCCGTTCGGGTACTTGTTGCGCGGAAATTTGACGCCCGGCTTGCCGCCCTTTGGGTTGAAGTAGATCCCGCCGTGCATGCCCGCCAGCAGCATCTCGCGCGGCGTCATCGTGGGGCGGAAGTGCGAGGGCGCATCGCGAAAGCACTTGAGCTTGCCGGTCGCCAGGTCTTTGGCGCCAGAGTGGCAAGCGACGTGACGCACGCCGCTCGGCGTCACTGGCAGAGCGGCTGGCATGGCTTGGAGCGGCCGGCTAGCGGGTAGTTCTCGGAAAGTTCAGTGAGTGAGTGTTTCTTCTGGATGGCGCACGAACTTATCCCCCTCGGCACCGAGTGTTTCTTCTGGATGGATGCAGGATGGAAGACTGCGACTACACCCACAACAGTCCTCAGCACTTGCAAAGCGAGCCGCGCGCGCCTGCGCGTCCACGCCCATTTGTTTGAGAGAGAGAGATTCCTTCTCCCATTTGCGCACGCGGGACCTATGTGAAGCGAGGTCATCAAGAATGATCCGTCCTGACCTGATGCATTTTGGCCTTTCCAAAATCAGCCCCTCTGTGGGTTTGCGCTCCATGCTCCGAGGCGCGTACACTCGCTGAAGCCCGCTCGACGAGGTTTGTTTGATTGCGTCTCGAGCTTTGCGTGGGACGCTCTGCGGGGGGACGTGATGATCGCTGTGCTGCAAAGAATTTGATGTTTGCGCATGTTTCTGTGCTCACAACCAGTGTGCAGTGATCACCCACCCACTCCTCTCAAGCACCGCGACTCCTCTCATTTGATGAGGGTTCGATCCGCAGAAGGGGGGCGCAATCTTCTCGCAAAATCTGGCAACGGATCCCAGTGTGAGCACGAGACCTTCTGCTTTGTGCATTTAGACCGTGCGACGATGATTGTGTCATGCACGATGGTGAAAGCAGTGATGGGGCCGCAGAGAGAAGGTATAGTACCACGACTACCAGCTCTCCGATCGGGCCGCCGACAGCGGGCTTGCGCAGCGCGCCGCTCGACGGCAGGCTGCTCCCCACCCTCGGCACCGAGTGTTCCTTCTGGATGGATGCAGGATGGACTGCGACTACCCCCACAACAGTCCTCAGCACTTGCAAAGCGAGCGAGCCGCGCCTGTGCGCGTCCTTACTTAGGCTGTACCAGGTTTTCCTCTTGCACCCCGTCTGTTTTCCTTTCCTTTTTTCTCTACAGCACTCTCTTTTCCTCTCTATTTTCCCGGGAAAACTCCGTGGAAATCGTCAAATTTTGGGCTCTGAGCCGAGTCTGAGGCTGGTTTGGGCCCAAAATCAGCCAAATTTTAGGCCAAATCGTCAAAATGCCGGGAATTTTGCGGAGAACCCGCTGTAGACCTGGAAATTACCCTGCGACCGCCTGGGTATTTTGTCGATTTCCTCAATTTTGCCTCAGATTTTGCCCCAGACCAGCTCTCAGTACTCAGACTCAGGGAAACTCGCGAGTTTCCAGAATGGAAGCACCAAACACCGCCCTCTGTTTTCCCTGGAAATTTCCGGAAACGCAAAGTGCTGGGGACCCTCTGTTTTCCTTTTTGTTTGCCGGAGTAGTTACAGGCCAAGCGCGTCCACGCCCATTTGAGAGAGAGAGATTCCTTCTCTCCTCCCATTTGCGCACGCGGGACCTATGTGAAGCGAGGTCATCAAGAATGATCCGTCCTGACCTGATGCATTTTGGCCTTTCCAAAATCAGCGGCCCCTCTGGGTTTGCGCTCCATCCATGCTCCGAGGCGCGTATACACTCGCTGAAGCCCGCTCGACGAGGTTTGATTGCGTCTCGAGCTTTGCGTGGGACGCTCTGCGGGGGGACGTGATGATCGCCGTGCTGCAAAGAATTTGATGTTTGCGCATGTTTCTGTGCTCACAACCAGTGATCACCCAGACACCCACTCCTCTCAAGCACCGCGACTCCTCTCATTTGATGAGGGTTCGATCCGCAGAAGGGGGCGCAATCTTCTCGCAAAATCTGGCAACGGATCCCAGTGTGAGCACGAGACCTTCTGCTTTGTGCATTTAGACGATGATTTGTGTCATGCACGATGGTGAAAGCAGTGATGGGGGCAGAGAGAAGGTTCAGAGAAGTCCGACAGCGACCGAAAAGAATTTTCGTACCGGCGCACCCAGCTCGCGTGCCGTTTTTATATATGTCGTAGGAGGCCCGTGCCTGCGTCCGTGCCGGCTCTGGCCCGTCTGCCGCCGCGCGCCGGATGCAACACTTATCACTTTGTCCTACTCTATACGAGACGGCCATGTTTTTTTACTTTAACAATGGCACGGGAATGGCGCGACAAGGTGACAGGATTTCCCAGCGCCCCTCGGCCCTCGGGCCTCAGGCCCTCGCCAAGAACCCCGGGCACGGCCCACCTGTCGGCCCCCACCAACTCCACACCAACTCGTATTGTAGCTTTATACCGCGCCACCGCTCCCGCCCACGGGGCCAGTTGACGACCACATAAGAGGTAGATCTCTTCTTTCGTGCCGACTGACTCCGGTACAACCTTTGGCAGAGGCTCCCTAAGCCGGCCGCGCCATGGCCAGCTTCTTTGCGGCGGTGGCGCGCGAGCCCGCGGCGCCGACGCGCTGCGACTTTGCGCTGACCGTCTTCTTGGCGCCGGCGGCCGAGGTGCCCTGCGGGAGGGAGGGGGCGGGGAGGGTCCGGTCTGAGCGAGGCAACCGCGGCGGGGGAGGGGAGGAGAGAGGGCGCCGCGCGCGCCTTGTGCTTCCGGCTGTCGGACTTTGCGAGCCGCGTCTGGTCGCGGCAGCCGTCGCCGCCCTGCCAGTGCCCCCCTCCCGGGCGCGTGAAGGTGTTGCCGCAGGAGGAGCACGGCCTGTCCGAGTACGGCATCTCGCGCGAGCACTTGCCGCAGAGCATGCGCGTCGCCCACACCGCCTGCCCCGCCGCCGCCGCCGGGCAGTCGGAGGCGGCGTGGCAGGTGGCGCACGGGTGGGCGCGGCCGCAGCACGGGAAGCGCAGCCAGCGGTACGAGTGCTTGAAGTGCTTGCACGCGCCCTTGTTAGGCAGCGGCTTGCCCACGCTCAGGCCGAGCGAGGCGAGCTGGCTCGCATTCTTCTTGCGCAGCTTCTTGAGGAGCGACTCCATCTCGTCCTCCTCCTCCTCCTCGCCGCCGCCCCTGCCGCCGCCGCCGCCGCCGCCGCCCGCGGCGCCGGCGTGCCTCACCAGCGTCACGTTGGAGAAATAGAGCGGCTGCGGCGAGTGGCACTCTCTGCAGCCGTCGCGCACCCGCCGGCCGCGCGCCGGGTCGGACACCTCCCGCTCCGCCCCGCAGGCGCACATGAGGAGCAGGCCGAAGCGAGGCACGTCCGCGAGCGTGCAGCCGGCCGTGTCAAGGAAGGCGGCGGCCGAGAGGCCGGCTGCCGAGCCGAGAAAAGCGGGGCGGAGGGTCGCCGCAAGGACGGCGGAGCACTTGTCGCACCACACCTGGCCCGGGCAGGCCGAGCGTCACAACGACAGTGACGAGATGAGGCCAATCCTCCTCCTCCTCTCGATGCACGCCTTGCTCGAGCAAGCCGTCGCCGAGAGGCCGGAGAGGCGAAGCTGCGCTCGCTCGCCGCACCGCACGCAGCCGAGGTCCGCCCACAGGTGCGTCAGCCTGTTCACACCCGGAGGTGTGAAGAGCGTCTCGCCTGGAGCCGCCTGCCCAGAGGCGCGCTGTCCGCCTCGCCACGCACTCGCCTCCGAGCTCGAGGCCGTCGAGCCGCACCTCGGTCCCGCGCACGAGGGGACGACTCTCCAGCACCATCCGCGCCTCCCCAACCTCCGCCCCATCGCCGCCGCCGTCGCCGCCGCCGCCGCCCTCGCCGCCCTCGCCACCGCCGCCGCCGCCGCCCTCCTCCTCGCCCTCCTCCTCGCCCTCCTCCGCATCCCAAGCCGCCAGCGTCGCCGAAGCGGCGGTCGTGTTCGCCTCCTCGGCCAGCGCCAGCGCCGACGCCATCGCGCGCGTCTTCTCGTCAATCTCCGCCGCTGCGCGCCGCGCCGCCTGGTCGTCCTCCGCCCTCGCCGCCGCTTCGCGAGCCTCCTCGAGCGCCCTCTCCGCCTCGGCGGCCCTCGTCCTCGCGACCAGCGCCTCCGCCTCAGCCCGCGACGCCGCCTCCGCCGCCGCGCGCCGCGCCGCGCGCTCCACCGACAGCACCGCGCCGCTCCGCTTCGCCTCCCTCGACTCGACGCGGCTCGCGGCCGCAGCCAGCCTCCGCGCACGCTCGGCCGCGGCGGCTCGCCACGCCCGCCAGCGTAGCATGGCGCGCTCACCGAGCAGCGCGCAGGCCGCGCCCACGACCAGCAGCGTGAGGACTGCACCCGCGACGCCGAGGATCTGCGTCTCGCTCAGCACCCAGCCCGGCGGAGACTCGGCGGTGCACGCCTCCAGTGCGGCGCGGGCCGCGGCACAGTTCTCGCTCTGCGCGGCACCGCCGTCCTCGACACCCGCACACGCGCCCGCAGTGTTTGCAGCCGACTCGCAGCGCCGCTTCGCCAGGCGAGCCGCTCGCCTGGCGCGCTTGAGTGCGTGCGCGGTGCCGATCAGGAGAGCCACAAACGCACCGCCGCCTGCGGCGAGGTAGTAAAAGGTCGGGTCGCTCTTCTTGGCCTTGTCCTTCTTCTGGTCGGCCGAGCCGAGCTTCTTGCCTCCCTTGTCCGCCTTGAGCGTGGACTGTCGACCCATGGAGAGTACCGGCAAGAGACGAGCAGCGGCAGCAGCGGCAGCGGCAGACGGCCAGCACTGGTGCGCACTGGCACTAACTACACCGCTGAGAAAGATAGAGCTCTACGAAGTTCGGGGAAAAGAAATTTCACCGCTTCGCGGACTCAACCAAAATCCTGCTCGTGCACGTGGGGAGGAGCAGGAGGCAGGAGGGGAGTGGTTTTCGTTTTCTTTCTTTCTTACGCTCGTGCCAACCCTCGATCCGTGATCGCTGTGAGACTTCGCGCTCTGCGGAGATGCTCTCACTCTGCCTCTTCCTCTTCCTCTTCGAATGTGGCCCCCCACCGCGCTTCACCGCCCTATGCGCATGTCTTGTCGCCCTAGGGGCTCGGGCCCCGGCCTGCACTGTTGCAGAATGTCCCTTGTAATGTGAGAGAGTGCGTTGTGTTCTTGTTTTGTATCCGCCGTTTCTCTCTTTCTTTCTCATGGGGCACAGGCGTGGACTCTGGACCAAACCCCTGCACCCGTGGGCTGCTGCAAACCGTAAACGAGGGAACTCACCGGTCCGCCGCTGCAGTCCTCGCGAGCTTCGCGTCAAGCCGGAGCGCCTTGACGGTCGCCAGCACGCACGCCTGCGCCACCAGCGGGTGCCACCACGCCGCGGCGCACAGCCCTGCGGGCAGCAGCAGCAGCTCGGCCGCCGCGCTGGTGAGTAGCGCGAGGAGGGCGCCGGCGGCGACGTCGAGCAGGTGGTGGGCACCGTAGTACAGCCGGCCGAAGCAGGCGAGCAGGAGGCACCCGATCGCGGCCGCCGGCAGCCCGGCGCAGCGGAGGGCCGGGTAGGCGAAGCTCATGGCGCCGGCCGCGTCGCCGCTCGGGAAGGACGCGTTGGCGTCGTGCTCGAGGATGGCGCGGATCGCGGGCAGCGCCTTGGGCGGCACGTCGGCCGAGGCGATCGGCCGCCGCCGCCGAGCCAGCCGCTTGGCCATGAGCACCGGCGCGATCGAGGCGTACCACAGAGTCAGGTAGGCGTGCGCGGCGCCGCGGCCGGGGAGACCCAGCACGTGTGCAGCGGCAACCGCGGCCGGAGGCGTCAGCAGGATTGCAGGCACCGAGTAGACGGACCGCGCAGCGCGCGCGGCGGTGGCGGCCGGTGCCGCCGCGTCGTGGGTGAGGAGCAGCCGCAGGTGCAGGCCGAGGACGGCTGCGGTTGCAGCTGCGGCGAGAGCCCACGCGGTCGGGCTGGGAGAGCCGCCGGCCAGCAGTGCGAGCCAGAGGGCGAGCGGTGCGGCGGCCAGCGGGTAGCCAAAGCAGCAGGCTGGCACAGAGAAGACCAGCTCTGGGAAATGGCCGAGGCGCAGCCGGAAGGCGGGACGCGAGAGCCATTTGTCGAGCCGATCGAGGGCGGAGCCGTCGATAGGGAAGCGGCTGAGGCTCGGCTGGGCATAGCCGCGAGGCATCAGGAGCGGGCCGGAGGATGCAACCCCCTGAAGGAGGAGACTAACGGGCACCCTCCACTGCGGCCGAGCGTACGAAGAAGCCGTTTTCCGTTCTGCTTGTGTCCTCCGAAGAAAGAATTCTCGCACCTCTGACAGGAGACTGGCACGAAGTAGCACCACAACTCCGAAGAAAGAAAATAGGAGGCTTGCACGCCAGAAAGAAAGAAAAAAGAAAACAGACAACCCAACCAAGGGAGGGATGGGAGGACAGCACGCCGCCACCACACAGAGGAAGACGCAAGCAAGGCTGAGCTCCTCCCTACATCTCGCAGAATGTCCCTTGTAACGTGAGAGAGTGCGTGGTGTTCTTGTTGTAGGAATTCACTATTGTGATGTTAGAGGTAGCAAACTCTTGGCGCACGCATATCTTGGATGGCCGGCATGGGGCCTGAGGCGTCGCCCATGCTTGCCATGTGCGAGTAGATGGTAGAATGCACTAATAGGCACGTCGCGCAAGGTCGGGATCGCAAGTTATGCCCGCATCAAGCGCCAGTTCAGAGTCGTCCAGAGCCGTGGCACACACGCCGTGGCAGGCCGTGTAGCCACTGAGATGGCCTTATGACGACCCCATTTCGACATCGTCCCCAAGGCCTCTGCTCATGAGCTCCACGCGGGAATGACTTGGCTCAACCAACTGATCACAAATTCCCACGATATCTCACAAAGCGCCAAAATTCTCCCTCGTGACAGCATAATTCGACGACTCTGATGTTGCAGAGAGAATTTGTGATCAGTTGGTTGAGCCAATCATTCCCGCATGGACGCATAAGGCCATCTGAGCAACCGCGCCGTCCGCCGTCCAGCACAATCGCGCCAGGGTGGCGAGCGCCGCACACAGCACTGCTCGTGCCGGTCAAGAGAGACGCGCCGGTCACAAGCACATCTAGCGCGTCCTTTGATGCTGTCTGTCGGTCCCGGGTAGCCTCGGGCGCCAAGGGCGAGCTCAGGCGCGACAGAGAGCGCGGAACGTCGACTGGCGCGAAACTTTCGCGGCAAGAGATTGCTACCACCTTAAGAGGGAGATGTGCGCGAGCTGCGGGACCGCGCCGGGACGACGCTAGGGACGACGGGCGGGTGATTGCGACGCGCCGCCCTAGGCGCCGCCACTTATGGCGACTTTTGGGACGCGCGATCGACAGGCCGAGAAGGGGCGAGGCCGTTACGGCCATGATCGTGGCTGACGACGCCGGCGACAACCACTGGCGGACCGCCGCGAGGACCGGGAGGCGGCGGCGGAGTGGGAGAGGAAGGCGAAGGTGGCGAAGCTCAACTCGCAGACGGTGAACGCGATGGAGGTGGTGCGGGCGCAGCAGGCCGCGAAGGAGCAGGGAGCCTTCGACGAGGCGGCCATCAGGGCAAACTAACGAGGTCGCGGGAGCGCCAGTGAAGGCCTCCTCCGCCATGGTCGCGAGCATCTTCAATTCTCGACGCGGGGGCAAAGATGGGCAGATGGTGCAGCGGCGCGAGCAGCGGAAGACCCAGACCGGCGCGGGCACTGCCGCGCAGGTTGTGGATGGCCTGGAGAAGGTGGCGGCGTCGGCAGTCCAGATGAACCAGAAGGACGGCGCCGACGCACTCACGGTGACGGACGCGCACGCGGGGCTGGTGAATGACGTGGCGCTGAAGCAGGGCATGATGGCCATCTCGGCGAAGGCCGTGCCGAACTGCCACCAATTCGTGTCGTGGCTGGCCACATTTGCCACGTTTGTGCAGTGCTTCTATCCGTCGTGCGGCTGGCGGCACAATTTGCCGTTGGATGGGAGCGGAGGGAAGCCGATATTGCCATCCCGCCGAAGCTGGTGGTGCTCTACCTGGCGATGGTTGCCAACGGCCTGGTTGGTGCCGATGGGAGGGTTTGTGTGCGACTTCGAGGACGGGTCGGCGTCGTTTGCTGCACGAGGGGGGCGGGTGCCGCACTCCAAGAGCAGGCCGCTGGGCGGGAAGGACAACTTCACAATGAAGACGATCTCTCTGTGAAATGACGATCGGCCGTCGATCCCGAAGGGTCGTCGGTTGAGCTAGGGAGCCTGGCGATGGACGCCACCGCGACCCCTCGTGGCATCTCTCTCGCCGTCGGCGAGCCGGGGGCTCGCAGACGGCCGACTTTCTATATAACCAGTAGGACAGCCGTGAGTGTGAATCGGATAAGGAGTTTGCGTCCGTCCACCGTCTTCGTGGACGTCTGTCCTCGTGACACCCACACCCCACACGGCCTGTTTTGCTTCTGTCGTACCGGTATCAGCCTCTCGTTAGAGCATCCGGGACGATCTTGCCATATCCATACCGCACGTGCCGGCTGCGCTCAGGGCTGCAGCAGCGCCGCTCAGGGCCACGCCGTCGCCAGGAGAGGCGGGCGGCCCGACAGGCAGCGCTTCCGGCATGGTTCTGGCAGAGGTTTCGCCGTCCGGGGACGGCGGGGTGGCCGTGGGGACGGACGCGGACGCGGAGAAGATCGAGAAGTTGCTGCGATCGGAGCGGGGCGGGACGCGTCTGACAGCTGTCGGCATTGTCGACGAGAAGATTGGTGACGTCGCTTTTGAGCTGGCAGAAGACATCCCGTTCGCGGCGCTGGAGCAGCGCCTCCTCCACCCTGATGGGTGGGAGGCGCTGGCGGGGACGCTGCTCGGGGAGCCCAGCGCGCGGGCTGGCTACCTCATCAAGAGGGACCTCCTCAAGACCTGGTGGCAGGATGCGACACCTGAGCAGCCTCCCACCAAGGCGGGCGCACCGACGCGCTCGGCGGGCGCCTCAGTAGTGGCGAGCTCGCAGCCGGCCACGAAACCGGCGGCGATTCTGAGTGCCAAGTACGCCACCGAGCTCGAGGGGCAGGGACTCGACGAGCCGGGTGCGCTCGCCCTTAGCATTACCCTAGAAATCGGAGGGGTAGTGTCGGCAGAGGAGGCGTTGGCACTGGACGGGGCAAAGTACGGCACGTCGCCTGGCCTGGTCAGCAAGGTACGGAAGATGCGGGAGGATGGAGCAAGCCTTTGCCAGGCCCTCAAAGGCGGACGCCGCGCAGTGCTCGAGCACTGCCGCCGTCTGGAGCAGGACTACATTGAACGGGGCATGCAGACAGAGGCCTCGCTGATGCTCAGCCTGCGGTCTGGACTCATGGAGTTCAATGACGAGAAGATCCTCCTCACCTACTTCCAGCGGTACCTCCGCAAGTACTCCGGGCGCGGCCTGCCGAGCCTGCCCGTCGACAAGGAGCTCCGCGACGACGTCTTCCGCGAGCAGGAGAAGTCTACGGAGTCGCTCAAGAAGGAGATCGAGGACATCGGGAAGCGGCTCGCCAAGGCGGAGGCGGTGGCGGCAGAGGCCAAGGCCAAGGCGGCGGCGGCCGAGGAGGCGGCGAAGCGGACGGGCAAGTCCAACGTCAAGACCTGCTACTGGTGCGGCGAGGAGGGGCACGTCAAGCCTGATTGCCCCGTCTTCAAAGCCGATTTGCCGAAGGTCAAGAAGGGCAACTGATGCCCTCGGGGCCTAGCCCCGCCGACCTGCCTCGCTCGCACCGCGTGACCCTCACGCACCGCGGGCGGGGCTCGGGACGGTGAGGCGCCCCACCGCGCCGTGGCTGCCCGGGCTTATGAAGAGAGAGCCGACGCCCGTAACAGGGTGGCTCCTTCTCTGATCCCCGCCCGGGCAGCCCGGCGTTTTTCTGTGTTTCCACCTCACAGAGGTGGTGGCGCCTCTCCTCCCCCACACCAGGGCGAGGCAGGCGTCTCCTCCCCTGGTTGTGGTCGTGTGTTTGGTGCGTCGTCTGTGGTAGTCGTTCGTCCCAGTGACAGAGTTTTGGAGTCAGCGCTGAGTCCGGTTGTCTCAACTCGTACTGTGGACGATGGTCCGGCCCCGGCGGAAGCCGAGGGCGAGGAGGAGAATCGGCGGGCGAATATCGACTGGGCGGGCTGCCCAGCCATCGCCGACTCGGCCCCGCCGAAACGGCCAGCCCTCTCTCAGCTCGTTTTGGGATGCAGTCAGCTCCACGCACCTCGAGGCGTCGCGAGCCGGCCACCGGCCGCGCCGCCCCCCAGCGGTGTGGCGGGCATCTCAGCCACGAGTGGCGAGCGGGCAGACGAGGAGGCAATCGGCGACGGCGGGAGCCGCCGCCTTCAAGAGCAGAGCGCGTGGGCCGGGATCGGCCTCGCCGCCGACGAGAGAGCCGTGGCAGCTGCTGGGCTCATTTTGTCGCAGTGGCGGCGCTCGGCGACGCTCCGGACGGAGCGTGTTGGTGCGCTCCGGACGGAGCGTGGGGGAGCCGGACGGCTCCTGGATCGGGCAGCCGGACGGCTGCCAGGTGACTGCGCGCTGGCCGGGATCGGCCTCGCCGCCGACGAGAGAGCCGTGGCTGCCGCTGGGCTCATCCGTTCCCGGTGGCAGCGCTGGGTGTTGCTCCGGACGGAGCGAGCTGAGGCGCTCCGGACGGGGCGTGGGGGAGCCGGACGGCTCCCAAATCGGGCAGCCGGACGGCTGCCAGGTGACTGCGCGCTGGCCGGGATCGGCCTCGCCGCCGACGAGAGAGCCGTAGCAGCCGCTGGGCTCATCCGTTCCCGGTGGCAGCGCTGGATGACGCTCCGAACGGAGCGAGCTGAGGCGCTCCGGACGGGGCGGGGGGGAGCCGGACGGCTCCCAGATCGGGCAGCCGGACGGCCGCCAGGCGACTCCATGAGTGCGGAAGCGTGGGCCAGAGGCGGCGCGAGCTTCGCCGACGTCGACCGACCAGAGCTGGACAGCGTGGTGCGCGCTCGCGCCGCCGGGCTCCTGCAACGATGACATTTCTCCGAAGCGTCGCCG